TGAGCAACTTAGCTAGGTCGATCTCATTTTTAAGTGTAGGCCAGTCCTCAGATAATAAACTGCAAAACAGCAATAGAGGTATAGTGACTAGCAGAGTTTATTCCTCCAACATCACTGTGCAGAATGTCTGAGTTGCTTTACCAAAAAAAAAATAGTTTCCTATATTTTGGGCCTTATTAGTACAGTTATCTAAAAGGTCAATATTTACCCACAAGTACTAACCAACACAGTGGTATCTGAGACAGCAGTTTGTCCTTCTGATAGAGAATAGCTGTGTTTTCACAAATACCGCTGTGATAACTGTTAATATAGGTCAACTTTTCATGGCAACCTGTGTATTTTCCCTTTCTTCGGGAGAAGTAACCTCTGCAAATTAGATATTTCAGAGCCCATTATGATAGGTGGTATTTTTGTTTGAATTATAGTGGTTCTTTCTATGAGAAGAATATATATATCATACATTATACAGCTGCATAGTACAGTACACAGTAGTCGGCAACAGCAGCTGAATATAAAATGCCTAGTTATTACAGTTCTTGGTTTCATAAAAAAAGTTATTTTTTATCTGTTTTAATGCATGTTTTTCAGGTATTTATTCCTTTATTTCTCTTAAGCAGGAGATCCATGTGTCCATTTATAAAAGCAGTAGCAAAGTCAACTGAAGTGATATCAATCATCTCTAATTCACTGTAGCCAGATACTCCTATTGAACGTCAATAAAATTATTCCATCTGGTGACTGCAGGAACGCAACATAGGAGATGCACAACTGCTTTTAACAAATAATCTCCATTCATTGATAGAGATTTAAAAAACAAGGTTCCTGCCAATAGGCCATAAATTGCGCCCCTCATATTTTTAAATCTTTCTGAAGCTGACCTGTGTCTCTTAAGGAGTTAACTACAAATGAGCCAAAACCCTGAATGTTTTACCCCCCTAAAATCTCCCCATACATTTTTAGTAGGGTTCATTCCAACTGGTCAAGGTTCTGAAGCATTCATAGTTTTGTCCATTTCTAACTATATTTCCAAGATTAGGGTCCTTGTCAAGGTTCACCCCTCAGCAGGCCCACTCCTGCTCTGGGGCATGACTAATTCCAGATCAGTTTTCAGTTTGGACTTGATGTGATTTGAGTCGAGCTGTCACGGTTCCTCACTGCCCAACAGAAGAAGAGGGGAAGTCAAAAATAGCATTTCTGTCAGTGCTGCCAGTTCTTCGGTGCTTCTTTTTGCATTTAAATTTTAATTCTATGGTAGCACTACAGAGGTAGCAAACTCAGCCCCCGCTGTACGTGCTCCTTGATGGAAATGTTTGGTTTTGAAATATATTCAAAGTCCCTCATCCTCTCTGGAAAACAACCAGCAGAATATGACATTTCTGGATATCAGTGTTGTTACCTCTTTTGTCCCAGTCTCCAGAACCTTGTGTCGCCTTTCAGATATCTATAATTTATGCAGAGGGTGATAGGCATAGGAAAATGAGCTTCTCTTATATCTTCCTCTCAGCCCATGTTTTGACCCAGATGAAGCCTGACCCATCCATTCATGGAATAAAATGTCCAAGAATTGCAAATCTTAGTGATCCCAACTGGATATGGGGATTTCTCCATCAAACAGGCTCAGTGCACAAAAACATTTAGTGATTCAATGATGAGGTTTGGTGCAAGGAATTAACTGATGGTTTCATTTCTGGGATTTGATCAGTTTTTGGTGGTAATTGCTTCTGTTGATGAAAGAGCAGTTTGACCTTGCATGGGAACAGAAATAGGGAGGGAGGAGAAAAGTAAAAAATCAAGAATGTCTGGCACTACTGACCTGCTTGCACTTGGGTCAGGACCGAGTAAGAATTAGCTAGGTAGTGGTTATAGTGAGCCTCACAGCAGTTTTAAATCCTGTCCTTTCAGCAGTTGACATTTTCTGCAGTTGAGATCCCTTGAAGAACCTAAAGAAGCCAAACCGCCTGATAAGCCTTAGCTCCTGCTTCTTTATTAGGCTCTGCTGGCTTTGAAAGAAAGTTATAGTGTCCGAGTGTATTGTGGTTGGTAGCAGCTTCACTCTACATCTGCTTGTTGCTCTGGGACCTCCAGGGCTGGTACTCCCTGTGCATTTCACAGAGTTAAGGCTTATTGGGCCTACTCCTCTGTATGAGTATCAGAGGGGTAGCAGTGTTAGTCTGAATCTGTAAAAAGCAACAGAGGGTCCTGTGGCACCTTTGAGACTAACA